AACGAACAGAATACTCTGACGCGAGGAAACGAAAACTAACATGGATCCTGAAAACCACTGGTGCAGCTACAGGAAAGCAGTCTTTCAGGTCCACATGAGTTTTCGGGGGTGTATTTGCCCATGGCAAGCCTATATTCAATATCTTCTGCGTGGCCCGAATCCAGCACGGGTGTGACACCTCCTATGAGCCGCCGAATGCCACGCAAAGCTTTGGCGCGTTAGGCCACGGTGCCATAGTAGATGTACCTGATCGAGTTCCAAATAGATCAACTGACGATAGCAAACTCCGATACACCGTGTTTTTTGGGGGGGGAAGAAAGGCGAACCCGAACGGTTCACGTGCTGGATTTGGGTGATCCACGACGCACGTCCCAGCCAGGTGCACCTTCCAATTCCCGTCGAGCAGACAGGACTTGGAGTCAAGTCCCTTTTTTAACCCATTGCAACCTCCCCGGCGCCGAACACAGAGTCCCTACAGCGCGCTGGCCGGCTGGCAGAGTGAAGCGCTGGCTTTTTGAGGAAATATTGTGTTTTCAAACTACAAAAAAGAACGCCACGTGCTTTTACATAAGCACGATCCCCAAGAATTCCTCATGTTTTTTTGGGATGAATGGCACTGACATGCACGCCCTCCCCATGTCGACCTCTCCAGGTCCGAAATGTCGCCGACCGATTTGGCGGTTTGGGTGCTTTCATCGGTACAAGACCGCTTTGGAGATGCGGCGTCCGGAGTGAGACTGCTGAGCGAACGAAAAGCCTCTGCAGCATGATGTTGAGATACAGCTTTGTCCGCAAAGGTAGAGTCTGTACTGAGCTCTGCGACGCTTTCTGTGTATGCTTTGGAGTCAAAACGTGTTTGAGGCCGCGTTGGCAATCTTCGAACTGGAGGCACTAACTCTGCCAATGCAGAAGGCCTCGTGTTTTCCAACACCTTCACCCCCTTCTCTGTGCTGTGGAAACCTCATGGTGGTCATACTGGCAGAAGTTCACCTTGTTCAAAGGAGGACAAGGATAGATTATTCGGTCTTTTTCCTTTGCTGCAAAAATTTGGTCCGATATGGTCCCTGCGGAAGCCTTCTCACCCAGCTGAGTCACCCATGTCTGCAGTAGGGCGCGTTTCGCACCCCGGCGAGGTACGGGTGGAAGACGTCCCGGAATGGTACGTCGAACGCAAAGCAATTCGTTCTCCGCGGCACCGACTCGGCGCAGTTCTCTCGTGGCTGACTCTGCGAGATAACGGATGTTTGGCCTAAAGAGGGTTGCGGGGAGAGCGAGTCCATATTTTCTGTACCGTTGTCTCCCGCGTGTGTTTGTTCAGCGTGCCATGCAACCTCGCGGCAGAGTCTTAGGGTCCCACCGAGTGACAGTTTTGCTTTCCTCTCACGCACGCCCCCAAACATCCCTCTGGTCGGCGGGCAGAAGCAATTCGCCAATCTTCGTGACTTGAGAGATCCAAGAAAATGTACCAGCGCCTTCCAACAGAGTGTTTGAAGACCTTAACCGGCTTGAAGACCTTAACCGGCTGCCATGATTGTGACCTGCCACGCGTTGTTTGCGACTTTGCTTCGATCCAGCCGTTTTGGTCACCTGTGGTTCAGTTCCATGCTTGAGTTCGCCCTGCGGTCAGCGCCAATCCACCTGCCAGGTCCTGTGTGCTTTCTGGCAACAACTAGAGACTCCTCGCCGCGCTCCTCGGTGCCACGACACGGCTGGATGCAGCTAGCTTTGCTTGTCGGAACAACAACTTGTGAAGTTTCTATACTGTCCGTCAGTTTTTCTCATCTTACATTTCTACATTCCTTGCCCCCCGCATGGATGCCTTGCTCTCCGGACCTTTTGACCCTCCACTCAGGCTACCACTTGGAGCACCAACCAGCGCAAGCTCCGAGCAGTGCTGATGCGAAAAAGACGTTTGCGCATTAGTTTTTCTTTCATCACGCTCAGTCACTTCTCTTCAAACAAGTGGGGGGCCTCTCACCTCCTCCCGGATTACGCCTGATTCCCTGCTACCTTTCGTTCACCCCCCTCCTCTCTCAAGTTGTCACTCTTCGTGGCAGGCGTAGTACTTTGTGCGGGTTTTGAGGTGTGGAAGTGCAATTTCCGTGGCAGGCGCTGGGAATCGTGAGGTTACGAGGTGGGGCGGAGGTCACATTTCGTGGCAGGCGCAGTACTTTGCGCGTGGTAGACGTGTGGGCACGTAAATGTTCGTGGCAGGCGCAGGGAATCGCGAGGTTGCGATTTGTGGTGGAGAAGAATGTCGCTGCGACATTGGGGTTGGCGTGTGAGCGGTGTTGTTCGGAGGGGATGGACTCGCAAAACTGCTTGGCACGCCTGCGTGATGTGTGTGCTCCGATGGGGCTTCCCGCTTGACTTTTTGGAGGAAGTCTCGTACGAAATGCTCGTTTTGGGACTTTGACATGTGACTTTTGGAGGAAGTCTCGTACGAGAGTGTTTCACAAGAGCGACGCGCAAGAGTGTCCCACAAGAGTGTCCGACAAGCCGACAAGATTGTCGGACGAGAGTGTCCCACAAGAGTGGCATACAAGAGTCACAAGAGTGACAAGAATGTTTTTTAGAAGACTGCTTCGCAAGAGTGTCCTACCAGAGTGTCCCACAAGAGTGACAAACAAGAGTGTCCCACAAGAGTGTCCCACAAGAATGTCCTACAAGAGTGAGTGCTCCACAAGAGTGGCCTGCAAGAGTGTCCCGCAAGAGTGTCCTACCAGAGTGTTCTGCAAGATTGCCCCGCAAGAGTGTGTCCCACAAGAGTGTCCTACAAGAGTGTCCCACAAGAGTGTCCTACAAGAGTGCTCCGCAAGAGTGTCCCACAAGAGTGGGTGTTATACAGGGTGTCCCACAAGAGTGCACAAGAGCGTCCCACAAAGGTTTCCGAAAAGAGTTTTCGAATATATACATGTTTGCATTCGGGTTCGTGGGTTCCATCTTGATTTTTCATGTTTTTCTTTATGGTTTTTGCACGAGACTCCGTTCCTGGCAAACCAGTTGCTTAGGGGTACCAACGCTCCCTCAAACAAGATTATTGCGCGCGTGAGTAAAGGAACATTATACTCTACATCTCTTTTGCGGACTTCAAGTCACAAGAGGGCACTATAAAATGATCTAAAGTGTTGCTTGGATGTTGGATCTAAGTCCTTGAGACGTAGCTTGATTGGTGACCGCCAAAGACGAGTCTTCTTGGACGAGCTGCAGGGCATGATGGCCGCGCCCAGCCGCGCCAGGTGGAGCTCAAGGAAGTGCAGATCCAGCAGTCCATGCAGCGGGCACTGGCTGCCGTGGCTGAAGCACAACAAGAGGCCGAGGCCAAGTTGATCCAAGCAAAGGCGAGGCCCAACATGGGGTTGGCATGGGTCGATTTTTATCCTTGTTTGAGTGGGACGTCAGCTTGACATAGATGGCTCTTGAGTGGTATGTCGTTTGGTAACTGGTTTATCTACTGTTTCTCGGTTTGGAGTCCACTTTTGGGGTGCAGCTTGTGGACTAATGAGGCCATCGCTAGTAGGTTGGAGGCCATCGCTATTAGAAACAAAGAAGAATATAAGGTAGTTTATGGACAACGTCCCTCCTTCAGAAGCGTGGCTTCAGTCGCAGGCGCAGCGCGAGTCGGCCTCGATCCTCGCAGAGGCTTCGAAGGCCATGGGACGCTTGGCATCTATCCGGTGCTCACTGTGCTCACAATCACCGGATGTCATTGGTGGTTCTCAAAAAACACCGGTGTTTCATGGTGTTTCTTCGAGGCGTGGACCGGACATCTGGGTTTGTATAGAATTACTTACATAGTCTTACGTAGAAGAGAACAGACGGGGAGAAGAGATCAATTAATCATTGGATCACTTTCTTTCATATCTTTTGGCACAAGATCCCTTTGGGGTTTGACAGAATCAACTTATAGAGGCCCCCATAATTATCACAATTTCCCAGATAGACAAGAACGATTTCTCATACATTTTGAGAGGGTATTCACTTTTCAATCAATTCTAGGACGCACTACACAAAAAAAACACACAAACAATGTGTGTGTGTTATTTGTTTTTGCTAAGGAGAAGACCCTGCGGCGCTTCAGCTCCAGTGGTTTGAGACGCTGCGGATCATTGCCACCCAGGGCAAGAACGCCACGGTCATTGTGCCCGATCGGATCGACCCGGAAAGTGCCTTGCGAGTGACCGGTAGTGGAGGGGGGCAGAATTAGGAAGGGGGGAACGATTGAAGTGACCCGTTTCATCAGGTTTTGTGGAGTTTTTCCCATGTTCCATGGCTGGGTTTGGATGAATTTTTAAATGCCAGACCGCAATTTAATCGATTGATTGATGTGTGTTTTTGCCATCCTTAGCTGTAGCCGTTGCCTCAAGCGGCAAGGCGGGCGGATGAAGACCCACAGACCCAAAGGGGCAAGCTGCTCATTGAAAAAAGGTTGTATGCTGAAGCAGGTGCTCTTGCTCCAGATTCGATTGTCTGCACACTCTTCAAAGTTTCAGAAGAACATTGTCCCTCCAGAGGCTGTGTGATATTTTTGAATTTCTGAGCTGACAGATTCCCTTTGTTTTTGCTAGACTACAATAAATTGCTTTCTGTACTTTAAGGTGCGGGCGAGCTGCTCTGACGCTCTCGTGCTCTCTCTCCCATACAGACCATACATTCACAAGAGTGCTAAGCTCTGAAGGAACAGCTACTGTGTATATATACTATAGATATATAGGTTGGATCTGTCCTAGTACCTTTAACAGTGAGTAAACAGTTATAACTATTTTTGAACAAGGCCTTTACTAACCATCATCGTCCACTGTTACTGGTAATAGTATAGACGCAACATAGGTATATGCCATGCACGCATGTATTGCCTAAAAGTATTATAATGAAATACAACCACACAACCACACAGATCTACTCTTCATGTTGTTTTCTTTAAATCCCTTTGAGCCAGCCTCGTTGGGGACCGTGTACCCGCTTGTAGCGCGCGGCCCAACAGCCAAGACGCGGCCGAGGTTTCCAAGGACGGACATGATGTGAGCCAAGCAGCCGAACGCCAAGCTGGGACGGTCGACTGCGAGGTGGTACTGGTTTGTTGGTCTTTGACCCAAGTGAAACTAGTCTGTCAAGTGGGTTCAAACAGGAGTGGAGACATGTGGAGACATATTATACTGTATAAGTCTGCTACATCTTGAGGGAAGGACCTAATTAAGCATTTGCTGGTTCTCTTGCTATTGTTCCTGCACAACAACTGGTCCAAGTCTGTCTTTATGTAAAAGAGCACAACCATTTCATGCGTTGCCCAGTAAGTTTGACGCCAAAGGGCGTTGGCCACGGCATAGGCATCAAAAAAACTAGCATAAAAACAAATAAAAAGAGGATCAACCAAAATAACATAAAAAGCGAATCAAAGAAACATATTCCTTGATAGGCCTCTTCTGCTGCTCTCCTGGCCCTGTGGTCTGCGGGTCCTCTGGTAATAAGGTCCCTTGGTCCTTTGGTCCCTCCTGGTCTCTTGGTCCTTTGGTCCACTGGTCCCCTAGTCCTCCGGTCTCCTGGTCCTCTGGTCCTGTGGTCCGCTGGTCCCCTGGTATCCTGGTCCTTCTGTCTCCTGGTCCGCTGGTCTCTTGCTCTCCTACTCCGCTCATCTTTCTCCTGGTCCCCTGCTTGCGCAAATAGAGGCTTGATTGCTTTCTACTAGAGGCAGCTCCCTGGGAGAAAAGTAGGTACCCAATGATGGTAGCCGTCCAGTCATTGAGTAGCCCTACTCAAAAAATGGTTCACCAGTAGAAATAGCTCCCTACTAGGAAGGAGCTCCTAGGGAGGTACACTCTCCTAGTCCCCTACTCCTTCCATCCTCTTCCCTTGGTCTCCTAATCCTGCTACTGCTACTACCCCAACCATCCTCAGTGGGCTAGAATATTTTTTTTTATTCTATTTTTATTTATATTTTTGATCCCTTACCCGTTGGCGACTGGGCGTTCGTTGGAGTGGTCCGGACATCGCGCACTCCCGGAAACCAAGGCTTCCTTCTTGGAGCATTTGTCCCACTCGTGCGGGTCCGATTTTGGGCCCGATGGAGGGCGGGTCCTGTGTGTTCCAACCGACTGCCAGTTCAGCAAGTTGCTTCATCGTTTGGATTTTTTCTGTGACATGGACCATCGAAAAGACATGGAGGCTTGAATCGGAGCCAAGCCTCTTTTCAGTTGCAAAAAAAGAACACACACACACACACATATATATATATATTGGTATGTATTGGTTAATGATTCACAGTCTCAGCATGAACAAACTCACTTCAAGACATGGGTGTGCCTCAAAGTGAGGAGATAGACATGAACGAATGGGTTTAGACTTTGACATACTTTCATCTTTCCAGGGGTGAAATATGCTGGCATATAGCTGTCAATCCATCACAACTAGGCAGTTTGAAGTAGCCAAAGCACGGTTATCGCTTGAAACTCATCCAACTATGCAGCACCATCTACAAGCATCAAATCGCTCTCTCATACAAATTGCTCACGTCCTCTAGGAAGTGTTTGATTTCTTGGTCAACGTGAGGCCTCAGTTTAGAAGATGTGCTGTTACAACCCAGATTGCAAAGGGATTGGTCAACGAAGGCCAAGCATTGACTTAACCTTTGCTTTGGAGGATTTATGCTGTTATTTAATTTGTTTCCTCTCCATCAGTCTTCCAGCTGTTCCAATACGGATCATTGATATTGACATAGAACATGGACCTTCTCAAAGGCATTTCCCATACAAAAGAACCCGGCTGTTCACCCCAAAAAGACTCGCTTGCAAAGTGAACCGTCAGATTGATGTGGTGAAACGCCGGCGCTTCAAGGTGTCCCTTAAAAGAGTTGGACATCTCATTGAACCACATCGACTACAAAGCGGCCATGGTCTTGGAGGAGAGTCCCCTGCACGGTGGATTTCAGGATTTCATACAGTTAGTTTTCAGAATTCTAATATACAGTGTAGATACTTTACTTTTTTCAGCCTTCAGCCCTGAGCTACGGTGCGACGACACTTCTCAACGACTCTCCGCACCTCAGAGAGGTGCAGAACGGTGCGACTGTCGCTCGCCATCAGGACTTCTTGTCGCAGAACTCGCGCTTGACGGCCTCTTGGGCTGTTCCGGCGATCACAGAACGGGTGTGTTGGCAAGGATGACAGGACATCGGATTGACGACAATGAGGGGACTTTGTGAGTATCTTCATCTATCTTCTATTTCTTCAGTCAACTCAACTCCATTTTTGGCCAACACTCGAGTCTTCCATTTGGAGATATTGTTTGTTTCCTTCAAGAATAAGCTGCCGGAGTTTTAGAGTTCTGGGTCCTTGAAACACTATTCTCAGTTCAAACAATGAGGGACGACTCTTTTGGCAACTAAGAACACCTCGAATCATGTTTAGCCTGGTCACCATGGTTGTGGGGCTGAAAGAGATTGGGGTCCCTCAGCTTCTAATTAGCTCCCAGAAATTCCAGCGGCTGTGTTTGAAATGTGCAGAAGAAAGCAATTGCCTTTGGGACAAGTAAGCTAGGTTCGGCCACTCCAGATGTTCGCAACGGCTATATAGAATGACTAGATCTGGTCTCGCTTCATACTGGTCTAGCCTGAAAAGGAATATGGAGATTGTTGACCCGTAATAAACCGTGAGCAGGCTGAATATGATCCATCTCAAGAACCTACAGGTCAGTGGTAATCCTTACTACAGGTATTCCAAATTCTGTCTCTGGTTGAGACTCACAACAGACATCTGCAGACTATATAAGTATCCGCTCATCAAAGCCCAGCTCAACCACTTCGAGGATTCGTTCTTTTTCCCACGGGTGGGAGGAAGCTCGATATGTGAGGTGCAGTCCTTCCACCTCTTTTAAAATCAATCTACGCAGTCCACAAGCATGGGTGCTCACTAGCATTAAGTTTCCCTAAACATCTAGGAACCACACCATTAGTGCGAGCGCTTCTTCAAGGAAGCTTCTCCCGCCACACCCTTGAAGAAGCGTGAGCTATCCTGCGTCCTGTCAGTAGTTGCTACTTGTTAGCTACTAGCTACCTAGCTTCTACTAGCTACCTAGCTACCTTGCTAACCTGCCGCCAGCCTGGCGGCCTACCCCCCGTTGATGGGATCCATTTGGACCGGAGAACCTGAGGCTTTGGATTTGTCGGAGAACCCTTTGGGACCAGTGGCTCGGCTCAGATGATCAGATCCGAATCGACCGGTCAGGATATGCTTTTTGTTGGAAGACGTGAATGGACCGAACATATTCAAAGACTGTGCAAATGACAAGAACAGGACAATAGAGCAATAGAGCGTCAATAGAGCTGTTGTTAACTGCTTTTGGTTAAGCGTCAATGTTGCCCTTCTGTGTTTGTTCTGGGTTTCTTCGCGCCGACCTGTCAGGATGCGTGGTTTCTGGCGTTTTTTTTTCTTTCCGTTGGTTTCGGACGCCCCTTTGGGGGAATCTGACCCTCTCATTCGTCGGCATCATGAAGCACCATCACTAATCACATCCAATCACCAGAAGCCTTCCCAAGGATTTGATCAACCTTGCCAATGAAAGATTGAAACAAAGAGGAAGGAACGTGAACATGAACCTTTATGATCACGTCTCGAAAAGCAATTGCATTCCCCCACATAACCCTCTCGACACCAACATCCACATCCCCTCCGCACCGGAGAAGTTCTCTCCGCCGGTGCAGTCGACAGACCTCGCTGTCGTGAGGTGGGGCTGCGGAGCCTCATCCGACTGCTGGTGCGAGAGGAGCTCGGGCGCTCGGTCGCGAAGGTGGAGCTGCTGAAGCCCGGTTGCAACAAAAGAGGACCGGTCAGGAAGACCTGACCAGAAAGAAGGTTGGTTTAGGATAGAACAACAAACTGGGACAGGTTTGGGGGTTAGCTAATTGATCAAATCGGAACTTTTGCAAGTTGGGCAATTCGTGGGCAGTTTTGGTGGGGATTTTGCAAGAAGCGTTTTGACATTTCGCCCACCAACCACAGCTTGCCTATATCCTGATTGCAGACTCCTTGACCAAAACCGCATCTTCTTCAACACGGATGAATCAAGCTTGTTAGAGGATGCGGGAGTACGCCTTTCCTCTCCAAATCCAGTTCTTTCAAATCCGGTTTCTTCCTGATGGATTTCATTCTGACTTCGTGGTACCAGTTCTTTTTCTCCCGCCCGGGGCCGGACGGAGGTCGGGCTTGGACCGGCTGCGCTTTGAAGGTGCGTTGTTTGGGTTGTCTCGTTCATCGCAAGCTGAAGATGAGCCATCGTAGCCCAGCGGAACAAATGAGTTCTGCGCACCATAAGCATAACAAGCAATCTTCCTATTTTGGCAACAATGAAGAACCATAAGTAGCCAACTTCGGAACTCCATGCTTGTGTGGCTCTTGCGAAAGACATGGTGTGCATCCCCTGATAGAGGGTGCTCACTGAGAACTGGGTGACTCGGGTCACACAATCAGCCAGCAGTGAGCTGAGCATCTTGGCAGGCTGCGCCAAGGGAGAGCAGCCCTCGGCCATCGCAGATTTGCCGCTTGACCTGGCCATGCATGGCCCTGGATTCAGAAACTAGCATACACATTTTCATGTTCTTGGCTTGCTCCTGTCTGTTGAGCTTTGGCCTTACTCTTTTGGAGAAACAAGGGCGAACACGCCTTCCTACTCGTGTTGGAAGCTGCTCTGAAGAGATGGTGGTGCTACTCTTGGTGAACCTGCACCTTGATGCACCTTGTAGTTTTCTGCAACTTTATCTATTCTGGCATGAGCCTTACCCAAAGGTGCCAATGCGATTGCCACTCGCGGTACTCGCAAAGGCAACCTTCACACCGCTGGCCGGGTGTGGGGCGCAGCATGCGTCACAGTGGCGGAGTTCATGCACGACTGACGGTCGACTTTGCCACAGTGATCTGGCGCTTGAGGCCAACCCACTTGTGGCCAAGTGGATGACAGTGAGACGATGCGCTAATGTGCTCACTGGGCGCCGTGACCAACGCCTCGACCGCCAGGTCGGCAGAGGCCGCGGTCAGGCATGTATGCCAGTAGGGGAGGCCATTCATTTCTGGGTTTCGCTGAGAGGTTTGAACAGGTCTGGAACATCGAAACGGTTTTACTCTTTGGTGAACCAGAGGTGACTCACATTTAGGGCCCGATCACGGCGCTTCACCCTTGAAAGACCCATTTGTACGTAGGCCATTTTGAAGAATGACATTGCTGCTTTTGTGCTATTCCTTTCCCGCTGGTCTTGTTGAACACATCTATGGGATTAACGTTTGTTTGCAGCAAGCAGATGGCCATTTTCTACTTGAAATGGGCATCTTCCTTTGTGAGGCTCACGACGGTTGTTTGGGATGCTCCCAAGTGGGCGTCTGTTGCTGTGTCCCAATAGGCAGTCCGAAAAGACATTAGAACCTAATAGCAAAAAGAACCTTGGCCTCTGATCTTTGCTTCAGGCCATTGCTCAGTGGTTGTTTGTTTCTGTTTCGAACACACAGTTTTGGACGGGCTTTGCATCCGTGCTTTGCTTTTCCATGCTCTTTTGGCTGTCTCTCAGAACCAGGTCTTAAGAGGCGTTGTTTGTCGCTGCGAAAACAACCGAGCCGGACCGAAGTAGATCCGGTGGACCTGATGGGGTCTCAAGGTGGACCTGATGAGATCGACACCGAAGGACGTTGATGCGGCCGTTGATTCTAATGCCGATTTGCTCAGGCAGTTCATCAGCACCAGCAATCCTGGTGGCCGCTACTCGCTGCAACTCGACCGTGCCTTGGATATGCAGTAGACCTTGATCGGCAAAGAAATCCTATGACCATGCATGCGAACTCGATTGCGATTCAACTATGCCTGCGCAACTATGGGTCGCAAGATGAGAACTGCTTCAAATCAAAGGGTGGACGTAACCTCAAAAAAGAGTGAGAAGTCGTGACTTCTGCATTTTCTAGAGAAAGGATTCTTGTCTTTGGTTTCTGTCAATGTAACTGTTTTCTTTTTTTCCTCTCTCTCTCTCTCACGTTTCTCTCTCTCTCTCTCTCTCACGACTCTCTCTCTCTCTCTCCAACCTACTAGCGATGGCCTCCAACCTAATAGCGGCGATGGCCTCCAACCTAGAAGCAATGGCCTCCAACCTACTCTCTCTCTCTCTGTATATAATATACAAAATTATATAAAATTATACACATATATACATAAATAAATTAATACATATATATATATATACAGAACCACATGCGTTTCGGGACTTTGAGCTCGGGGAGCCAAACAAAAACGAGTGGTGTCTCAGTGTCTCATGATTCTTATTGTGCCTCAAGTATTTAGTCGGGTAGAATATTTCTTGCACCTCACACAGGAAGCCAGTGCTGTTTATAAGAAATTGCCTGAGATATGATAGATCTACGATCTTGATTCATCAAAACATCCCACAGGTAGGTTTGGAAAGACGCAGACTCCGACATACCAAGTGCGTTGCATGTCCGTTTTACAGTGCAATTATTTGCCTGGGTGACCACATCAAGACATAAGACCCATGGACCACAGGTTCGGCTGTGTAATTTTTCCTTTCACCAGTGGGTTCGATGGTGCCTGATTTATTGAGCCACCGCACAAGAGACTGGACCAAGTTTCAACCCCGCCAGTGTCCGATTGGCATGTTTTGCATGTTTTGTGGACCAGCTAGGACCGGATCACCGCTCAGTGTTGAGGACTGACCGGTCTTTCATCAAACAATTGCCCATGCAATTCTTTCGTAGTTGGACACTGGCATTTGGATGTCAGCTTTTCATTTGACACGCTTTTTAAACGTTTTGCCGTGACATGTTCCAATGTCGCGAATCGACCGCACAACGGCGAAAGAAAGACCGCGCCGCATTCAGCTTCGTTGCGGCGACCGGACCGCAGGATGCTCTATAAGACCTGCGAGCGCTTGGGGATTAGTCCGGCCGAGGCCGAGGGATGAGTTCGCCACCGGCCCCGGTGGGCGAAGGGGTCTCTCCCGTGGAAGTGACGACATAGCTGACATGTTTCCATTGAATCATAGCTGACAGATAGCTCTCCTGAAGGATCTAAAAGGAGCATCATTCAAGCATTGAACATCAGTCATTGAATCATGTCCTTGCTCGCCGGCCACGAATTATTTTGCATGCGTCCATGTTGGGGGTTGTATATATATATATATAGTTGTACTCCTAAGATAAAGCTTGGAAGGAACACGACGTGTCCAAATTGGCAGCCATGAACGCTTCTACTGCTTCTACTAACGCACACTGGTGCAGTTAAGTTGATGTATTTTTATTTTTATTAATTAAACAATAGTATCATACATATTCCATCAGTTTGCGGGGCCCGTGCCTTCAAAGAAACATTCTGAAAACAATTCGATGCGGCATGTGCCGTTGTTGCCAGGCCTTCTCGCAGCTCAGCTACTCCAAAGGCAACTATTCGCATCCAGCAACTGAGCTTCTAAAATGATGGGCCGCACCGGATCCCACACTGGCACAGGGTTGTTAGTGTAATACTGTGGAACCATGAAATTGATGAATCTCCTGGCAAAAACAACTGCATCCACTGCTTTGTTCATGCTTGGCAGATTGATTTGGCTGGATGTTGTCCACCTGTTTGGGTTTGAATCAAAGACACTGTCGTGATGAATGACAGGGCACACCCCGGTTTCACCCACTTTCATTTGGCGAGTGGACTGCTTGCGTGCCGCTCAGATCAGTGTTTAGGTGGTCACACTTCGCCGCTCGATGGACGAACAGCACGGGAGTCAAACAAACCACCCTTCTTGTGCGACCGGCTCACAGGTGAAAGCCTTTTGGACTGCTTGCCGTAACTGCCTCATCGTCGCTGAGGTACGTAAAGATGGCGTCTACGAAGTTTGCACGGAGGGCAGGCCAGAGGTTTTGGGGTGGGTATGGGCAGCCTGGTGCTGAAACAAGTGTATGTTTAGAGATCAGATCCCACTGGTTGCAGTACTTTCGTAGCTTCCCGAAGAACCCTCCAATACCGAAGAGCCCCCCTCATCGGGGGCTGATGCGCGCATCGATTATATAGGTGTAGCACCAGCGGGGGGTCCAATTCTTGGAGCTATGCCAATGCTGGGAGGATGTCCTTCAAACTCCCAATCCAATCAAGGCCGACTTGACTTGCCCTTTCGATCTTCTCAGTCATTGTCCGAGTCCCACCATTGGGACTTTGGAGCAGAGTGTGTGAGCTCACACAATCGTTGGTGGAACCAGCCCACTCTAGCCCCCAAATCATCCCAAATCACTGTCGATGACCCAACGAAACAGAAACCAAACCTAGGCCACCTGCGAACATGGCCACCTGGTTTCTTTCAGAGAACAACCCCCTTCTTTGTGCGAAGTGACGACCTGCATGACCGTCTAGTGGCCTGGTGACATGGCGGGACTCGCCATGACCCCATGCTTGGGTGGTCCGCCAAGTCGCCACGCGCGAGGCTTCAAACAACCTTCAAGGTAGAGAAGGCCATTCATCCATTGATGAAGGCATGACGTGGAAACTTGGGGGGGATTGGAAGAGGAGACTGTCGTGTTTGTGGTTGTGATTTAGGGCAGGTCTTCTTGATGCTCTCTACTCCTCCCCTCCTCCCCTGCTGTCTCTGTCTCTGTCTCTGTCTTTGTCTCTCCCTCTCTCTCTCTCTCTCCCCTCGCGCGTGTATGTTTCCAAAATAGTGAGTTTCTGAGTTCCCAACTGTACCAGCAGGTTCTGGGTGGTGGTAGGGTGCGCGAAAAGATTGTGCCAGTAAGAGGCCTCCATAGTTTTATGGTCCATGGTGTCTTCACACGTTTTCCACGTTTTGTCGTGGCCTCGTCACTGGCATCAAAGCACCCGCAACCACCATGCGAAGTTCCATCAAATCACTGGGCATGTAGCGAGCCCTTTCATCCCCAGCTTCGACGTGGAGGTGGAAGACGATGCCTTCGAAGACTTCTTCCATCAGCGCAATGGGCTCATGAGGCGCCAGAGTCACCCAAATGGGCCGTGTTTACGGGCCGTAAACGGACTGTACACGACGTGTGTCACAAGGGTTGCATCGAGGTGGAATATAGGAATAATATGATGTTTTATTATGACTAACATCTCTTGCTGGCATGAAGCTCTTGGACAATTAATTGTCACCTGATGAGGAAATCTTACAGTATAATTACAATAACCGTGATCTTGGTCCGGCTTTGGCTTTGACATGTTTCGACGCATAGCAAAATATGTGACTGTTTTGATTAGTCAAGCTGAATGCTTTGATTCTTTTGGATTCTCCAAGATGCAGCTCTACCTACTGTAGTGTTGAAGCATAATAGAGACTTTCGTGATGCTGGGGCGAGGCTCTATCCATCAGAGAGGAAACAATTGGTGCTCTTCAACGCATGGAGGACTCTCAAGGGCCACGGTGGATGACTTCTGGAAGACATTTCTGAATCCACTGTCAAAGGCTCCTTTTTGGTCATTGGAATCCCCATTTTGTATAGCATGGCCCCTCAAACATCTCAAACACTAATACCACTCGCAGGTTGCTCCCCTTTACACGCTTTGTAATCATGCACACTGATGTAGGGCTTCTGGAGGCCTGGATGTAGGGTGTGCCAAAAAGGTGCCGGCATTGGCAAGAAACAAGGGAGTTTGTGTGAAGTTTGCAGGAACGTCTACGTAAATGACAGACCTCTCACCGTTTGCTCGATCAGAAGCACAGCTCGCATCTCCGACACAGGAATGTGGTCAATGTGGATCCAGATCAGGTGCGTGAGGGTTGGCTGCAGAGGGCGTTGTTGAACCAGCGTTTGGTTTGAGGGGATAGTCGGATAGCCTGACTCTTAAAGTCCAAAACAGTAGGGGTGCAACTACTTCAGGGTGGAACTAACGACCACCTTTTAAAGGCTTTTAGCACCGGGTGGTCTGTGACCGCGTGCTCCGCTGGGCTCTGGAATGGTTGCAGGCAGTCTTTCTAAATGCCTTGGCACGCGATATCCACCTGCCGTGATCTCAGGGGAGACCTTCAACGGAAATATACAGGAATTGGAAGTGTTGAAGCTATCTGAGGGCGACCACAAAGAACCATGAGATGCAGGATGGCTTGTGTATTGTGCTTTTGGGCCATCAAAACTTTGTATTGAAATTAAAGGATTTTGGGACTCAAATGGTTTATCAGGCAACCCCAACTTGTTTTCAAACTCTTTTTTTGACGCAGCTTCAGTCTTGAACATAGGATAACAATTGGCTCCCTTTAATCCCCATGCATCCTCATTCATCACCGCGTTTCCCTTTTCAGCCGAGGCCCTTTGCCCTAGTGCAACAGTGGGCAAGCCCAGCGGCCGAAGCTGCGCGTCGGACGAACTCAGAGAGACCCTGAAGGGTGATGCAACGATGGAGGACATAAACACGGGTAGAAAAATGAACGAACAAAATCAGGCAGCTCTCATCGTCTCGATGCCTGCCCTGCCCAGAAGCTTCTTCGTTTGGCCAGCTTCGGACTTGGACTGAAAACCCACCGAAACCAGCACATCAAGGCACTTTTTCTTGGCACCCCAAAATAAAGGGGGGCAAGCTCACCTAAAACTCAGAATCAATACACAGCTGGGGGGTCCTGAGTACATCTGAGTTCCATGTTGCTCAACAAAGCCTTTTCGTCGCGTTTGGAGCTTGGCCCTCTCTCCCTCGTGGTCCAGATGGTCACCGTCACGTGTCGCCGTTGTCGCGTCGCGTGTGGACGATCCACCGAGGATGTGCACCTCGTGCCACAACTCTGCAGAGGTGGCGGGGAACCCCACGAGGAGAACCACCAGTGCTTCGCTTGGGATCACCGAGGGAACTCGGGATCCGACGAGAAAACCAAGAGGTCCCTGTGGCCGATGTTGTCCATCATTGACCTTAGGAAGGCTTCCTTAGAAGGAAGGCTTCCTTGGGAATCGTTTCACCTGTTGTAGCAACAAGAAGCTTTTTTCCCGAAAGCATTGCGAAGGGTTCTTCCGGAAAATCCTTTGAACACTGACACTTCGACACGTACACTTAGACACACCTAGACATTGACACTTTCACCACACACCTAGACATTGACACTTTCACCACACTGGCAGGATAAATAACATGAACGCTATACGTAGCCCTGTGTAAGTGGAAGAGCGAAAGCTGTCAAAGTATGCAAGTGGAAGAAGAGCGAAAGCTGTCAAAGTATGCAAGTGGAAGTATGCAAGTGTAAGTATGCAAGTGATGAGTATGCATGCAATGATGAGTATGCATGCAATGAGTATTGCAAGCATGCAATGAGTAGGCAAGTGAACTAGCACGGGAGATGTCCTAATGAAAAAACATTTCCCCACTTTATAAATTCTCTCTTAAAGGCGGAGGGTGGGACGAACAGCGTCAACCGAAAGTGCAACCCTCTGCGGAGATCGTGCGTGTCGAGTGCGCGAAATGCAGGCGAGAGTGCGATTTGCCGGCTGCGCGCGCAACCCTCTGCGGAGATCGTGCGTGTCGAGTGCGCGAAATGCAGGCGAGAGTGCGATTTGCCGGCTGTGCGCGCAACCCTCTGCGGAGATCGTGCGTGTCGATAGCCACGCAAAGACTTTGGCTGACAACAGGCAGTGGAAGCCAGCTTGCTGGCTGCCATTGTCCAGATGGAAAGCCAGCACGTTGGCTACCATCATAGTTGAAGTGGGTAAGCCAGCACGCTGGCTGCCATCATAGTTGAAGTGGGTAAGCCAGCACGCTGGCTGCCATTGTCCAGATGGGAGCTGGAAGATGAGAACTGGCGACTTTGTAGTACAACTGTAGTACGCGGAGTAGCTGGGGAGCTGGAAGCTGAGAACTGGCGACTTTGTAGTACAACTTTAGTACGCGGAGCAATCTGTGGAGCTGGAAGCTGAGACAGGCGACTTTGTAGTACAACTTTAGTACGCGGAGTAGCTGTGGAGCTGGAAGCTGAGAACTGGCGAGTTTCTAAGTTTCTAGTACAACTTTAGTACGCGGAGCAATCTGTGGAGCTGGAAGCTGAGAACTGGCGACTTTGTAGTACAACTTTAGTACGCGGAGTAGCTGGGGAGCTGGAAGATGGGAACTGGCGACTTGGTAGTACAACTTTAGTGCGCGGAGTAGCTGGGGAGTGGGAAGATCAGAACTGGCGACTTGGTATAGTACAACTTTAGTACGCGGAGTGTCTGGCGAGTTGGAAGATGAGAACTGGTGACTTTGTAGCGCAACTTTAGTACGCGGACTAGCTGGGAAGCTGGAAGATGAGAACTGGCAACTTTGTAGTACAACTGTAGTACGCGGAGAAGCTGGGGAGCTGGAAGCTGAGAACTGGCGACTTTGTAGTACAACTTCAGTACGCGGAGCAATCTGTGGAGCTGGAAGCTGAGAACTGGCGACTTTGTAGTACAACTTTAGTACGCGGAGTAGCTGTGGAGCTGGATGCTGAGAACTGGCGAGTTTCTAGTGCAACTTTAGTACGCGGAGCAATCTGTGGAGCTGGAAGCTGAGAACTGGCGACTTTGTAGTACAACTTTAGCGCGCGGAGTAGCTGGGGAGCTGGAAGATGAGAACTGGCGACTTGGTAGTACAACGTTAGTACGCGGACTAGCTGGGGAGCTGGAAGATGAGAACTGGCGACTTTGTAGTACAACTGTAGTACGCGGAGTAGCTGGGGAGCTGAAAGCTGAGAACTGGCGACTTTGTAGTACAACTTTAGTACGCAGAGCAATCCGTGGAGCTGGAAGCTGAACTGGCGACTTTGTAGTACAACTTTAGTGCGCGGAGTAGCCGGGAGCTGGAAGATGAGAACTGGCGACTTGGTAGTACAACGTTAGTACGCGGAGTAGCTGGGGAGTGGGAAGATGAGAACTGGCGACTTTGTAGTACAACTTTAGTACGCGGAGTAGCTGGCGAGTTGAAAGATGAGAACTGGTGACTTTGTAGTACAACTTTAGTACGCGGACTAGCTGGGGAGCTGGAAGATGAGAACTGGCGACTTTGTAGTACAACTGCAGTACGCGGAGTAGCTGGGGAGCTGGAAGCTGAGAACTGGCGACTTTGTAGTACAACTTAGTACGCGGAGCAATCTGTGGAGCTGGAAGCTGAGAACTGGCGACTTTGTAGTACAACTTTAGTACGCGGAGAGCTGTGGAGCTGGAAGCTGAGAACTGGCGAGTTTCTAGTATAACTTTAGTACGCGGAGCAATCTGTGGAGCTGGAAGCTGAGAACTGG